CTGGCAAACAAACCATGTCAACACTAATGAAGGTTTGCAAACACCATAACTTATCATTAAGTTTACTGTTGCTGTTGACAGGAGGATTTTATTTGACCTGAAAGAGAGTTTGATTTTTGCTTTGCTGCAGTCGTTGAATATCAGACATTTCTAATATTGATGTATCAGGGAAGTCAACTTGTGCTGGAGCACGGCAGATTTCCTGTTTTAAACCTGAGCAGGTGGAAGTGTGAGCGCCTGCGTATTGCAGCAGGATATTCTGCCCTGGTAAAGCGATTTGTTTTTTGCTTCTGCAGGCTCTCTACGCCTCCAAGATCATTTCCTACGCGCAGGGCTTCATGCTGCTGCGGCAGGCGGCCAAAGAGTTCGGCTGGACACTCAACTACGGCGCCATCGCCCTGATGTGGCGAGGAGGCTGCATCATCCGAAGGTGCTACTCATCCTCATTTCATGCATGTTCTAATAAAAGATACACAGCTTCAGTAGAACGTCTTTCCACTGCCTGAGAAAAAAAGCTTTACTGCTGTGATGTTAAGGAAGATAAATCACATAAATCTCTGTTTCTCTCTTTCCAGTGTTTTCCTCGGTAAAATCAAAGAGGCGTTTGACCGAGACGCTGACCTGCAGAACTTGTTGCTGGACAATTTTTTCAGTGATGCAGTGCAAGACTGCCAGGTATGAGGAAGTGGGAAGTCGAGCAAACCCAAGCTTACAACAGCCACATTGACAAAGGCCATTTCCTTCTTGTTACAAAGAAAAACTGTGATGCAAAGCTTACAGCTGTAATTTATTGCTGTAACTTTCAGCTGTCTGCTAAGATCTCTTTACATTTGGATCAAGTAAATTCAGCACAAGTTGCTGAAAAACAAAGGCTGGCAGCCGATTTCTAGACGTCCTTGTCTTAAAATTTACTAAGCCTGTTTTAATTTAGACTTGCCGCAAATATAAAATCTGTTCTTCCTGACCAGATGTGCAGCTTGGATGAAGCTGCCATTTTTTGCTTTCTGTCTGTAGGAGTCGTGGCGCCGAACGGTCTGCGCCGGCGTCCAGCACGGCATCCCGATGCCCTGCTTCACCACGGCTCTGTCCTTCTACGACGGATACAGACACGACATGCTCCCTGCCAACCTGCTGCAGGTAAATATGGCAACAGCTGCTGGGAATCGACCCCCCGCTGAGCAGAGGGTCGAGTCTTAAGGGGGGAGGAGGAGTCAGATGACACACAGAACTGTGTTGGGAACTGTTTCTGTGACCACATGTACATGGACATGTAGTCGTGCTGGACTATTACATCCACTGTTCAATCCATCAACCACTGTTACCAAGTCTGCTCAGTCAGAGAAGTAGCCATTTTTGGAATAAGGCGAGTTGGCGTTATGTTAAAAAATCAGACTGGAGAGACAGCAGAAGTTATCGTCAAATGAATGAAGTTGAAATTCTTGGTGTGCACGTAAAACACTGAATGAGAGAACATTCAGTGTTTTACGCCCATCACCTCTGTCGTAAAATGTGGCAGATGGGAAGATAAATCCTGTAAGAAATCCTGTTGGAGGTTTTAAAGACTGGACACTGTTTTTAAAACAGTGTCCAGTCTTTAAGCACCTATAGCAGACTGGTTTAGAGCAAATTATATGCATGTGTTGAAATGACCTAGTCAAAGTCTGGACCTAAATCTAGCTGATCTAGCTTTATGTAGCAGCAAATTGCTTTTTTTTTATTATTATTAAAATATTTAAAAACTATTAACTTTCCTTCCAGTTCCAAATTATGTACTAATGTGTTGATCTATCACATAAAACTACAATTAAAGTCATTGGTACTTGTGGTTGAGATGTGAGGAAGATCGAGTGCTGTGAAGGTATCAGTTTTGGTCATCGGTCGCTGACGTGTCGCTTCCATTCTGTCGTTTTCAGGCGCAGAGAGACTACTTTGGCGCTCACACATACGAGCTGCTTTCAAACCCCGGGCATTACATCCACACCAACTGGACGGGCCACGGAGGAAACGTCTCCTCTTCTTCCTACAACGCTTAACAACCGCAGTCATCTGGTGCAAAAGAAATAAATAAAAATAACCACAAATAAGGAGAGTAAAAGAGGACGTTGCTCAGAAAAGAAGAGCCGGTGTCCCACATTCCAGCTTCGTAACCAAACCTCTGCTTCATCCTGACTTTTACTCTTCAGAGACCTCTTGCAGTTTTATTTATCAAGAAATGGTGTGTGCGTTGCCTTTGTGCTTCTGGTCTGTTCTGATGTAGCAACAATCACACACACACACACACACACACACACACACACACACACACACACACACACACACACACGACAACCCGTTGACCTCATCCGGACACCAGGCTAATGTTCAACACGTTTAACACTGGATTAAGGTGAAGCGTTGCACTGATCTGTAAAAGGCTAAATAAAGATCTCAATCCCTTTATAATTAGCTTTGATGGTCCTTGCACCGAGTGAGCTGTGAACAAGACAAAGGTTTGTTTGTGTGTAACTCTAAATTAGGAAACTCATTTCGTCGCACAGAGACAGACAGACGACTGGAAATAAATGGAGGCATTTGAATGTTAAGCTTGAACGACGTTGACACATCGAGAGTCACGACGTGCAAATTCTCTTTTTCAAGTTTGCAGCAAAATAAATAACCATAAATTTGGGGTAAAGTGTAATTGAAGTTGTTGTCCAGCAGGGGGGCCTGGAGCTGCTGGTTGCAGAGTGAACAAAGCCTCCGAGTAAACTCATCATATTTGTTTGTTGGATTTTATTGGAATTTAAACTGTTTAATTGTGTTTGTTGCTACCAGAGATCCTTCCAGCCCACAGCGTCAACACACTTAGATATGATTTGGGGTAAATATTATCAAAGTATTTTTCATCGTGAGGGTGACAGTTTGGGTCAATTACTAAAACTTTGACTGGATTGGACGTTCCAACAGAAAAATTATCCAAAAAAATTCAAACTGATTGAAAGTCAAACATTTGCACCTACGTCCTGTTTAAATTCATTTCAATTTAATTTCGCTGTGTAATCATCACAGCAATCGAGAAGAAAAGGTTCAAATTGAAACTCCAAAATTAAATCGATGCTCTGACTTTAAATCAGTCAACCGATTCACTGAACATCTTCAAGCCGATGGCCAGATTGGGCTTTAAAAACAAAGTCCTCCTTTTTTTTTCTACTGTGACGGCTTCTCTGTTAGCTCACCAGCTTCAGCAATAGATGGAGCAATGCAGCAGCTATGACACCCGCCACATGGGAAGGACACTTGATAGGTATTTTCTCAACCTGCATAAAAAGAACCACAGACGACGTCTATTCGTTTTCATCCAGGCTTCTGCAGAAGGAGAAATCGCAGCGCACAGCTCCTGCAAGCGAGTTCTGGGAACCTTCTGTTTGAGCTTGCCTTTTATTCTCACAGAAGGGAGAGAGAAAAAGAAAAAGCAAGTTCTGCCTTTTGACAGTGATAACACATAATTCTAACAATGCTGCTCCTGCCCACACAGCTGTTACCACACTCACTGGTAATCAGCAAACAAAGCTTCACTACACAATGTTAAGACTCAGCAACTCGATGAGGGTCACTGGGTAAACTTTTCGGCTCTTGTCTTCTTGCAGACCCCTGATCAGCAGCTGTTGCATCAGAAGCTCAGTGAAGCCTTATGGAGGTGAAACTGACTCATCTGCATTAGAGAGAGGACAGACACTAAGGTGATGCATAATGGAGCAGCTGCTTGCATCAATGTCCCTTTATCCACACAATGGACATGCAACCAATCTGAACTATTTCAGCAGTGTGAAAGTCGTATTAGTTTTATTTATTTATTTTTTTATTGTTTTGCGGTCAGGTCAATTTCTTGCATAACAGGGCTCTAAAAAGTACAACCTCCAACTAAAATGCCGGGGGGTTGTGACATAAAAACCTTTCCCACAAGTAATGTGACATTAACTTAAAAACAAACCATTTTTTAAAAGAAGCAGACAACAGATTAGGTACCTTAAATGTTATAAAAAAAAGCTGGAGCATAACTTTGAATAGATCTCTAAGCAACACCAAGTAACAAGTCAATAATATGTAATTGATATTTCCACAAATCTACAGCTGTAGACCAGGCAGCCTTTGCCTCCGTGTGAGTAACCAGAGCTGCTGACAACACCAGCTGCGTGAATCAAGCACCAAATCTGAGCCTAATGATACAGATTTCATTTTCTAATCAGCTATCACAATTCAATCATTTCTAAATTCAATTTAGATACATTTCACTGTGTACACTTGTTTCCTTCTATGAGCCAAAGACATGAGGTTCATTGGGCTCCAGTTTATCCTTTGTTAAGACACAACTGATAACTAACATCCTTTGTAGTTTATTGCTTTTAGTTAACGTTTTTCGTTTTGTTTCTATTTGATCGGTGTTACCAATTAAGCAGTCTAATGTCAAGCTTCCTTAATACGCTGAAAAAAAGATTCCTTGAAATAACCAAGGTGCAACAGCACAACCTGCTGGAGGAAGACTGTAACTACGCTCCAACTAGTCAAGTTGCACACCTGACATTACAAATGTGAACATGTAGCTGCTGCTATCCTAGCAGAGCATGATAAATCCTTCCAGTCAGGAGGAATGGGGTCAAAAGTCCAGCAATTTGTTGTGGAAGGATATTTAATCTGTCTCAAATTACTCATCGCTACCAAATGCAAAGATAAAACCATAAGTCTAACCAACTGCGCCACTGTGTAGCCCACTTGTGGTTGTGGGTCTGATTATTTATACTTGGCTGTTTTGCCTTCAGGCAGAGAGAGAAAGAAAACATGATTCATGTCTCCTGAGTGGTTATATCTGAATGTACAAGTAGAAATTGCTTGAAGGAAGGATTAACACCATAGTGGGAAAAAACTGGTGGAGTTCATCACAGACCAGTACATATATATTAAGATTATTTATAATTTCTCCTCTATAGCTTAAATAAGAACGATAATTTAACATAGTGCGCAGAACCACTCTGACCATACTGCATCCCTCACTGACCCCCAGGGGACAATGAACGGTCATCAAATGCAAAGAACACGTGACCGAAGTCACCATTCTTTGCAAGCTTCCCGCTCAGGATGGAGTATTAGAAACTCTTCATCGTGGTAAGCGAGACCATACAAATTAGAGTCACATTTCTCAAGTCATAAACTATAGAAATGATCCCTGAAAGTATAGTCTTAACTCATCCATCCTCCTCCACATCTTCTAGTACGAACCCCTTACCCTCCTCAGTGACGGTGCAGACAACGCGTTGAGCAGGCATGTCGTAAAACACAATACATCCAGGTGGTTGCAATTACAATAGTTGCAAGTTTAAAGTATCCAGTTGTAAATGGTGTTTATTTATAAAAAACAATAGCTACGCATAAAACTGAACCGTAACTTGAATATAAATGCTGCATTAAAACAGGAAAAACTCGGATATAAATAAGTTTGTCTTCTATTGTTACCCATAAGGCACTGCGTTTCAATGCTCCACAGCTCAGTTGCTGCTGTCCCACGTGGTTTAATATGCTATCACGGTCTGCTATATGCAAACGGGGGTCGCTATGTGCAGTCTTCAGTGTTCCTAAATTAAGCCAAATAACAAAATAGATAAATAGAAAGGCGTATATCTATGACGTATATGATCAATGGAATTAAAAGCTCGTAGTCTGCAATTCTCGATCACATGCAATTATGTAAGTCAATGAAACTCACGACTTCTAAAAGAAAAGTCCTGGCATGTTTGTGGAGATAGTCAAGTGGCTTTGCTATGTTTTCATGCAAATACGTCAGTCCTCGCTGAAATTGCTAAAGAATGCTGCGCTATTTGCAAAGCTGTTCAAACTAGTTTACTTACACATTGCTGTACTTATTCAGGACACTTATGGTCGTTTGCTCTGAAACAAAATAAATACTTTTGCATGGTTACAACAAACCTTTTTTCTTTATGATTTAAAAAAAATCTCTGCAAATGCTTGTACATATTGCTCAGTGATCTTTATTTCCTCTAAAGTTTATACTGTGTATGCTGAGTGCTTGAAAACCAAAGTAAAATTCCTTCTTTGTTTACAGAGCCTTGATCTGCATACAAATGCTTCATTTTTTCCCCGCATTACGCACTATGCAGTTGTTTTTTAAGCATAAGCCAAGTACAAACTTATTTACAACAGAGAAAACTTTACACCACTGTAAACAATATTAACCAAAGTTGAGGTTCACTGAGAGAAATTGCTCAACCTGGGCAGACTTTTTAAAGAAATAGTAAAACATAATACAGAATTTTGACAGATTTTGAAAACTAGCTCAGCAGTTTGGTATGCAACGATTCCAGCAGTGAAATGACTACTAGGGAATGGCTATCCAGGATTCATAAGTATAGTTCATATGGACTGACATAAGCAAATGAAATTCTAAAAACTCAAAGAATTTTATGGAAGCAATTGATTCATGTCTGAAAGCAATAACAATTTGCTGGAAAATAATGACACATTGTGGAAGTTGAATTTGTGATTAAAAAATAAAACAAATTCCAATCAGAAAAATGCACCAAAGCAATTGAGAAAAAGTAACACTTGTAGAACTGCATGACTGCTTAACCAATAGTTGGGGGGGAGGGGACACGACTCCTTTTCATTGTGACTTGTGCGTCAGGAGGTCAGAATATGAAATATTTAATGATGTAAATTATTCCAACTCGATCTTAGGTCAAATTAAAATATTTGAAGAAGTTCTAGTGTTGAATCATAAAAACAAACAAAAAGCAAACACTTGGAATATAATTTTGTATGCAATTAATTCATTTCACCTAATAATAAAAAAAGAAGTTGTAAATCTGAGGTCTTAAATGAAAATCACAGCACTGAATAAATAATATGCAACTCTACAAAACTATCAGCTATCTCAAGTAGAAAATAACATGCTTACCAAAACTGAGACCACATACAACTTAAAAAAACAAACTACTTTTTATTTTACATATTGCAACACTAGTATCAATACACAAAGTGTGATTTTGCGCTCAGATCTTTATACTGAAAAAATGCCAATACACTTCTTCATGAAAGTAAACAGCTATCAACATATCCTGCTATGGTAATACAACTTTTGATCACAATAAATAATGTAAGGTTTTATACTCGCATATACCAGTAACTTGTGTGACGTATTAATGAACATGTTCTGGTGAGGTAGAATTGAACAGTTTTTGGAGGACAAAATGAAACTTCTAACAAGCAGGATGACTTTGGTCCCAATGTGTCAAAACAAACAAATATGTGAATATAATTTTGATATCACTCGAATGTTTCTTGCTAATGAGGCGACGTTGATCCTTCCCAGAATTAAGGCGATTTCGGCTTCGTCGTCAAGCTTCGCCGACTCCAAACTGGGGCTCAGAAGAAAATCTGGCTTTTTCCAAATCCGACGACCCTAGACATGTGAATTAAAGTGTTGGCAGTTCAATTAAAGTCAAAAACAAGTCTGTGTCAAGAGGGTATTTTCCCTAGTTAAATTAAGTTTTATTTCACACTTCCCTTTGATTCACAAAACATAGAAAAATGCATTCGAAACCACTTCAAACACAAACTTTCAATGGGAACTATTCAAACATTCACCAGGAACAGCTTCCAAACTTCAGCACTCTTTCAGTGTTTTCCCCCTCCCTTCACACAGACTTCACAAACAAAGTCACATTTTCACACAAAGAGGGTGGTAACAAGGAGAAAATAAGACGAGCATTCACATCGCATTGGACAGCAAGAAAAGATCTACTAAAAGATACAGATATTCATAGCACTTGACAATTCAGTGTGATTTTTTTTTTCAAATGTAAAAAAATCAGGGATGGATAGAAAAACAATACGAGTAAGCAGAAAACTCAGGGATCTTGAGATACAAGAAATGTCCTTGTGATGGTCACTGAGAACACACACGTACTTTGCTTCTTCCTCTCACACTCGCACAAAGCCACAGGTTCTTCTCACCTCTCCCAGGCATTTGTCTTTCAAAAAAATATACAAATAAAGCACAAACAGTTCTTGCTTTCCTTCCTTTTGCTCACTCTCATTCGGTCCAACACCAAATCTACTCATCGAGATCAAAAAGCGACAGGGGCAGACAAGATTTCTATATTCCGAAAAGAGAAAAAAAAGAAAAAAAAAAAAAGAGGGGGAGGGGAGAGAAAAGAAAGGCAACACCCACCGTCTAAAACTGTATACGCAGAGTGAAGCTGTGTTCTCGGATGATAAAGCATTTACACGTGGGAGGAGGGGAAAGGATACTGAGATCTGCCGAACATTGCAGCCAATGAAGCGACTCCTCCCGGGAAATTGTGAAAGAGTTGGTGAACTGCGGAAGAAACGTTCATGAAGGTGTTTCCAAAAGAAAAGAAAAATAAAACAAACCAAAGAAAAACAATATGATGCATAAATATATAGAATTATCTGACAGCCAGCTTTTGACGGACTGCAGCGAGACCTCAACATACTCGTGCATGTTTATAAATAGTTGTGGTGCATGCACAGCCGTCTCTTCGTAACATGTTCTCACAAACAAAACTACGAAGGAGGATTTCACAAACTAAATGTTTTACCCATTCAATGCATGACTACACTGTCAGTCACACCAGTAGAAATGTTCGCTTTTAATAAAATAAAAGGCAGTGTTTCTTTCTTAAATAAGATATAAGCCATTCCTTCCTGTAGGTATACTTACCAGATTTGCCTAACAGCAAGAGAAAACATCAACTCTCACCTAGCTCTACATTCCCCAGCTAGAAGACTTCGACTCCATTGACGTGCCAAAGCCGGAGCTGAAGCCGCTGCTGGAGGCCGTGTTAGTGCCTCCGGCCCAGCCCAGGCTGGCTGAGCTGGGGCTGCTGTAGCTGGTGCTGGCAGAGCTATACGTCTGATCTCTGGTGGTAGAGGCTGTGCCTGCCGCTGTGGTCAAGCCCTGCTGGTTAGCCAGCATGCCCATCATTCCCCAGCTGCTCTGCAGCGCTGCCTGAGCTGCTGCCACCATCGCTGGGTTAAGGCCCAGAGCCCCAAAGTTAACCCCTCCACTACCGCTGCCTAGGCCCCCACGATTACTGCCGTACCCCTGACTGAACCCGCCAGCCCCGAACCGACCCCGATCCATCATTTGCCTACTGTTATTATGTTTGGGCTCAGCGTTGGAGATGTGCACGCTGACGCCCTTGATGATCAGGTCCTCTCCGCACAAAGCCTGGGCGACCTTGGGAAGAACAGAAGGAGAACATTTAACACCACGGGTTGCTGTTTACTTCAGTCTACGGCTGAGCAAAACTATTCCTAATAGTTTGCGCTTTCTTCATTAATTCAATGTTTTGCAAAAGTATTCACCTCTCAAATGTTTCCGCATTACAACTGCACGTTGGTGTAATTTCAGCGACAGTTGTGGTGGTAGATCAATTATAAGGCAACTCTTACTTTTAAAAAGGGAAAGAAAATGTATGTACTTCATTTGTTTTTACAAAAAAATGATGTGAAGTCAGAATTTGTCTTCAATGTGTTTGAAGACAAAAATAATTTCTGCAGCAGCAAGTCTTTTCAGGTATGTCTTTACCAGCTTTGCCTTTTTTGAGACTGAAGTTTTAACCCATTCATCTCTGTTAAATAATTCAAGCTTAATATACGCAAGCATTTGTGGTTGTAAAATAAATCATGTGAAAAATGTTTGAGAGGTATGAATGCTATTTATTTTTTACTGTAAAATCAGCTATCTTAAAATTTGAGCTAATATTCAGTGTAAGTGAAGAGTAGCAGCTCTTACCTGATCATCAGCAAATGTGACAAATGCAAAGGCCCGGAAAGGTTTGGGAATGAAGACATCAGTGACTTCACCGTACTGCATGAAGTACTGTCTCAGATCGTCCGTCGTCATGTCCTCTGTGCAGCGGCCAACAAAGATTTTGCGGCTCCGCATCGGTTCATCGGGAGATGCCTGGGGAGAAAAAGAAGCCCAGTCAGATCATAGATAGGGCGATTGATAATGTTCAATCTTTTGTGATAACTTAAAAAGTGATTTTCAAAACTTCTAAACAGCAATAACGAAGCAACGCGACTAAATCTTAACAGTGAAAGAAAACATCAAATTCTCATTTTCCAGAGTATTCTGTTATGGTGTCCAGATGACCTTTGAATTTGGAAGTTTGCAGTCACACCATCGTCCGTCAATCATGTGTCTCTGAGCAATGACTTTAGTTTGCGTCTCATAGTCTGCAAAGCGGACGAACCCAAAACCTTTTGAGTTTCCAGTTTTTGCATCTCTCTTCACCTGGAAACAGCAAAGAGTGAGAATGCCAAATTAATTTCCACTTTAAAATTGGTAATCAGTACAGTTAGAGCTTAACATGAGGGGAAAAAAACAGGGGTATTTAAAGTTAAATGAGATATTAGTACCTGCACCATAATGACCTCCCCAAAGGTGCTAAAGTAATCCTTCAAGTCCTGTTCTGTTGTTTTCCAAGGCAACCCGAGGACTATGAGGTCTGACGTTTTCTGAAAACCTCTTTTGATTTTAACAGCCGATGCCGCGTCGATTTCCTCCATCTTCCTTTTGTTATCTGCAAAGAAGAAATAATATTCTGGCATAAGAAAAAAACAACACAATCACAAAAACCTCATTAGACACAAAGAACGGAAAGTTAACATCCATAGAATCAACTATAAACCAAGATGATCTATTTTGTACCATTGTATGTGATATATAGCTACGTTTATTAATGATGCAGCTTCAGGTTAAATGTCAGGATTTATTGACAGGTTTGTAACAAATTTGTAAAAAAAAAAAAAAAAAAATTAAAAACCCCATGTCAAAAGCCACTCACACCTCCTGATTTACTTTGAAAGCATTTAAACTCAATACTTTTTTGTTTACAGTTTCAGGAAACTTTGTTTGACTTTATCTTTTGATTCAACAATTTAATTTGTCCTTTAATGCCACAATACTTAGGTCAGACTGGTTCGGGTCTGACCTGTGTGACAGGACTCGATGCTGTTTTTCTTTTTTAGCTCCTCTCTCTCACTTGTTTATTTTCTTTAGGCTTCATCTTCAGAACATATAACGTCTTGTTTCAGTCGTTTGCTGGCTCTGACACTTCTCATACAGATCTGGGTGGCTTACATCCTTTTCAAAAGTCACACATCAACGCTTGATGTTTAATTTAAACCTTAACTTTGACAAACAGATTTGGTCAGACGCATGGGGATCCATTTTTAAAGTTAGAACTCTGTTGTATTTAAAACACCGGATCCACCATTTAATTGGTTCTTTTTATTCTTTATTTTATATGTGATTTTAAACATGTTTTAACTGCTCCTCATCTAAAAACAAATCATTACTGAATGGCTTTTAATACCTTTGAAGAGCTAAATGTTTCTGTTGAACCATGTTGATCATTTACCTTATGTAACTTGCGATTTCTTGAATCAACTATAGTTTTGTAGTTAGTTTTGTGCTTTTGTGTTGTCTTCTTAATTATACTACTTTTTGTACTATGTCTGAAAAATACAATCTATATAGATAACCTTGAATTTGTTTCTGAAACAGTGAAAAGTTTTTGAGGGATTTATGAAGGAGCGCTGATCTGGTTGATAAGTATTGTTTTCACACCAAAGGCTAAAGAAAACCTCTATATTGTGCTTTGAGTTAGCTTTTGCTATCTTTATTTGATTATAAAGTAACACAACTAGTGATGCAGAATAAAAATGGCATTTCATAGAGGGTTTTGTGCAAAAGCTGTTGAATCTGAGTGACTGCACACTTTGAATACAGGCTGAAGTTTGCAGACAGTCTGCTGATAAACAACAGGAAAACGCACATCCCGTCTCACCTTTGGGATAGTTGACGACATAGACCAGGTTTCCCCAGCTGCTCTCTGGTGCATGCAGGACGCCCTCCACCAGCCGGACACCCCTCATGCACTGGGACTCCGGGTTTCTGTACCGAAGTCCGCAAGCCCCCGGGAACTGGGCTGATACTGAGGACAGTAGAACAGTCCCATCGTCCTCTGAAGGGATCTCCATGGGCTCCTCGTTCTCATCCTCAGCCACCCGAATGTACAGCTCTGACATGTTGCTCCGGGACGGCTGAGCTCTGGTCCGTGAGCAGTCAGCTGATGACGGAGCTCAAGTTGCTGCTTAACCACTGAGGCGCAACGCGAGTTGGAAGGTCTTAAACGAGGCTCAAATGTTCTTAGGTTTAAATAAAACACACAAATGTGCAGCAACGGAAGTCAGGAGCGGACAAACCGTGCTCATTCGACAGTTGTAACATTTAAAACCTGGCGGTCATGAAAGCCCGATGTTTTCTCTCAACGGAACACGTAAACAAGTTAGCTAGCTAGCTAAAGAGCTAGCAAACTCAAAGCAGCTCGGAAATGAATGACTATGCTTTATGTCAGCGAGTAAACAATTCCCATCCCGACTTACAAGTATGTAATCGAAAACACAATGTAAACAAAAGCCTCCAGAAGTTGTTGTTTTCGGTTAAATTTGATGAACGAAATCTGCACAGCTACACACGGCTAACAAAATGGCCGCGGACCGCTCACCTTGTGAAGATGACATCATCGTGGTGGAACAGCTCACTTCCGTGTCTCTGTAGGGGAGGTCGAAAAATAAAAATAAATGAAATAAAAATTATTGCCTCTGGTAACCTCTTTTAATAAATTACAGTTCGTGTTTTTGACGATGTTTTAATGTTTTTCTCGTGCGGTTTTTGATTTATAAATCTGAAGCGTAGTAACGTCTTTTTAAGGCAAAACCACGACGTCTCACGTTAAAACCATAACGAAAGGGATTCTGTTCATATTCTGTAAAATTGGATATATACTTTTTAAAAATTGTAGCAAACCTAAAAATAATTACTGTGAATTTGTATCCAAAATTCCTAGAAAAAAGCAATTGTTATAAATATTAATAACTCTGTATAGTCTTTATTCTGTGCAGACAATGTTGAAATGAAACAGGCTGGTGTGAAGACTTATTACATACGACAAATAAGAAATAAAATGGTTATGTTGAAGGTAAATCCCTTCAAACTATAATTTTTCTGCATAATATTCTTGCTAATAAACAGAATAACTGAACTTTGGTTTGGAGCGTCACATCAGAAAGACATACAGAAAGCATAAGCAAGCAATACAGTCGCTCTATTGCTGCTTATATATTATTATAAAGCATTCGTGTGAATTATAAACATGGCTAGAAGAACCTACATCTATTAGGTAAAATTAATAAATTCTTTCATTTTCTACATAAGAAAATGAATTAAATTCTGGATTTATGTGGCTTTCTGTAAAGCAGGTTGTGTTTTCTGCAATGCAGAAAGGAGAAGGCTCAAACATAAAAGTATAGACTGGATCATGATTGACTTGAGTCCAATCTTACAAAAAATGATTTCATTTATTATCATTTATTAAATTCCAAAGTTGAAGACTAAAATAAAATTGAAAGTATCTGCAAAAGTTTGGTAGAGAAAGATGTGTAGCAAAAGTCACTTAATTTACAGTTTTAGTGCCAGAACAAAAAAGACATTGTGACCCAAGATAGTGCTGTTCTCAGAGCTGTTATCAGACAGTGTGACATTGGAGAACCTTGTTTGTTCTCCAATGGATGATAACCAGTAACGTGTGGTCAGGGGAGACAGGTGAGGTTGCCTTGGCAGCTCGGCTATGGATGGTATGTGAAAGTATAGTCTTTTTGCCCTTCAATGTTGTCTGCATGCGGGTAAATTTCCTAATGTAAACAATAACATGCAAGGGGTTTTATAATTTTGATTAAGTCAGTGCCTCAATGGCCATGAACCTCACCGCACATCACTGATGATAACTTTTAATTACCACTGACCTGAAAAGTGCAACTGAAATCCAGGTGGCCCCATATTCAGATTGCTGATGGCCAAAAAATGCGAGCAAGTCGGACATTAAGGGAAGTAATTTGAGCTTCAAGCCAAACATTTTTCCACTTTTGATATGACTAGATGGACAGAGCTTAGGTAAACATGTTCTAATTTAGTGACACCAACTCATACAGAGGATCAGAAGTTTTCAGACTCATGTACAACAAATTAAACCCATGTTGTTTCTCCAGATATTTGCTCTTATTGATTTATTTTCTTCACTTTTAAGAACATACTTTTTGTTGTTATCCTCTTGGAGTTGATGTTATTAATAACATCACTTCCAAATAAGAGTTGATGTTACCCAGGCATGGGTTCTAATTTTGAAATAATGCGTGGGTTTGACCTGATAAGGAAGCAATGATAAAGAAAATGCAATGACAAAAGCAACGATGGAGCTCTGGTGCTCACTGGTGTTCAGCGAGGAGGAGACCAGACAATTTGTGACTCTAACCATTCTTGCAATGCAAATACTGCAAATCAAGGATAGTGCTGCAGTTTTGGTACATTTTTCGGCTAAACTTTAAAATGACGCAACACAAATGTTATGTGTTGCGGTAAGTAGCTCAAAGCAATTACAGCCCTGTGTTGATAACAAACATCTCCTGCAGGCGTGCCACAGAGTAGATGTGCTCACCTTCAAAGAGACAAATCACAAAATGCATTGGAGCATGGAGAACATAGTGCCATCCGAAGGTGAGTGTGCCGATGATGAACACAGTAAAACTAAAGAGGTGATTAATTATTGGATGTTATTGTGACCATTAGCTCCTCCGCTGCATTTAATAGAGCCACACTTGGCTCTGTTTTTGTTTGTCACTCAGTGATGCCTAACCTGAACACTTTGTGCTGAGTTTTTTCAGCCTCTGCCTAAAGTGAGATTTAATAGACTAAGTGCCTAACATTAGGAATTGAGATCTACTATTGACAAGTTGTTGCTTTTACAGCAAAATGTCTCTGAGAAGTCTGGTTTATCTAAGAACATCTGGAGTCTGTTGAGATTTCTGCTGCGTAAAGCAGAGTTAAAGCTTTGGACAATTTCAGGAATCCTAACAGAAAAGTATTTTAGGACTGGAAATGAACACAAAGACTCAGGTGATTTGAACCCAGAGATTTTGGGCTGAGGGAAGCATTGCAGCTGTTTTTTGTAATGTGTGACTGGTTTGCAAAAATAGAAAGATAAATGGGTCAATATACAAGGTAACTCAGGGAGAAAAACGGTTAGAAGCTTTAAAAGACTTGAAACTGGAGAAGAAATTCATGTTCCAACAGGACAATGACAGGCCTAATCTCACAGTCTGAGCCACTTTGTGTCACATCAGCACTGATCTAATTGAGAATCTATAAGACTTCAAAATTGATGCTCACAAATGTTTTACAATCAGACTGAAATTTAGCTTTTCAGTGCAAAAAATATGAGCATCAACATGCGCAGAACTACTAGAGAAATACACTGAAACACTATGTCAGAGGTGGCTCTACAAAAATATGACTCAATAATGAACACACAATTGTCAGATTTCTATTGGGAAAAAAAACAGGTGTTACAAGTAAAGCATGTTGTAACCTGACATGATGTGAAAAACGTAGCCAATGGGTGTGAATACTTCTCCAAAGAAGAAAAACAAAGTTTTCGCCTTTGTTGTGTCATTTTTTAAAATCCATATTTTTTTTTTTATATCTTCAGTTTTGCTTAAATTGCCATCTTTATTCCATGCATACATTTACATTCGCTAAGGTTGATTGACTAAGCAGAAATATGGACAGACCTCTGCCAGCCGGGGGGATAATCCAGAAGTACAGACTGGTGCAGGTGATCTAAAATATAAACGCATCCCTTTTTCTGAGCAGCAGAAGACACAAGCACCAGGCTCATTTCGTCTCACAGCTGAACAGAATAAAACTAAACATTTTAGTTACACCGTGGCATGTTTCTTTGGTATCTTATTCTAGTTGTCTCAATCAGCTCTGAGTTGCACTCTTTCTAACCGCCAGGAGAGGGCAGTATTGACTGTTTTTTGCAGCACTTTTTAATGGGCTGCATCTTGCCCTCTAGGCCTGTTCCAAGCGAACCAGTTTTGCGAGTTTTTGTACCCGCACAAACACTCATTTCTAATTATGCCATAAATCATGTTATACTCCAAACATGTCATAACTCAAAATATAAATTACATAGGGTAATATTGCATTTCCAGTATTTTTGCTGCATTATCTTGCTTTCACCTTATCACAAACATAATTATGTTGAACAGAATAGCATATTTGCGAAGAAATCTGAGGTAAAGAAATATATGTTTTTGCTCCAAAGATAAGCCTTTTTTCTTGTCACCTTTGTTATCGTGACCTCTTGACATGCACCAAAGCTCCCGTAGATGACAGCAGCGCAGTGTTTTGCAGTTACATGCATCATATACAATGGGCCATGGGGCAGAAAATCTAAACTTCCTAGAGCCTTTGGTTCCCATCTGCTCTGTGAACTCATGAACAGGAAATGGAATAAGCGCTGCAAAAAAAAAAAAAAAAAAAAGGCACACCAACATCCTTCTTTTCATGTGGCCTATTGCGGCTATTAGCCTTTCTGTGCATCGACTGTTAAGTGTCTTTACAAAGTTAAAAAAATCTCTTTCATGTTCTACTGTTTCTTTTTTGTTGTAATTTTAGTCGGAGCATATGGTTTGCACATCTGGGGGATGCTAAGCATGGTAGCACCCAGCCCCCAACACTCACATGCACATATTGCTCCTGTTAAGTGATCCATATATGGTCTTCATTGTCATTGCAGATAATCACTCATCGCTGCTATAAACAGGTCCTCCTTACTGGTCGTCTTAGGTTTTTGGAAAAATAATTGAAACCAGTAGTCTTTCCTTTCTTCGTTTTTACATATCTCCTTGTCTTCACCCGCCGCTCGTTGTTTTGAGCATTTCTGCAGACTCAACCATGAAAGTGCAAAACCACAGAAACTGCGCACTGTTATAAAACCAGAAGGCTCAGCGACAAAACTGTGAAGCTTCTGTCATGTGACCACAAACAAGCAATCAGATCAGGAAAGTAGGTGAGTGTATCTCGTTTCATTTCCTCTCAAGCAGATGCATTTAATCCCACTTTGATTGAAATAAGGAGTCATTAAAGGAGACTTAGTGATGCCAACATGAAGAGAAAATCACTATTGTGTGCAACTTTATGCCATTAAATGACACTTCTGCCAGGCAGACAGGCTTCACATGCCAGCGGAGAGACACACGAGGGAGGAAGAGGAGGTTGGAGGAAGGCTATGTGTGGCTCTGAGTGGTTTGCCGAGCCTCTTCATCTCTTTCAGCGGGTAATTACAGAATCATGGGTCAACCACGCATGTAACCACAGTTGCATTGCACAGTAGCAGATGTCCTCTTGGCATTCTCTAGCAAAAAAGGTAAATAAAAACAGATGTGGCCGGTTGCTATACAGATCTTGGCCAAACTTATGCACACCACTAATTGTTCCCATGTGGGCCCACTGAGCCGGAGAAGTGCAAGGAGAGGCAAGGCAAGGGGTGGGTATGGCCTGTTTGAGAAATGCTGGTTTTTCTCAGGAGGAGAAATTTATGAATGGGAGAGGGAGTCTCTGGTGGCATAGCTGTGGTGGTGTGTGTTTATTTTGCTATGTGTAAAAGCAGG